CGATGCGTGGCCGCGATTCCACGTGTGCGAATAACGGGATGACCGGTGCGCGTGTTTGTGTTTGGCCCTGCGATACGATCCATGGACCATGAATGTGCTAGCCGTCGAACAAGGGTGAGCAGACGAGAGGTACGAGGGTGGTGAGGAAGGAGAGGTGCGAGGAAGAGAGAGAGGGAGAGGGAGAGAGAGAGAGAGAGAGAGAGAGAGAGAGAGAGAGAGAGAGAGAAAGGGAGATTGACCGAAGTGACCGTCGCTACTCTAAGCTCGCTGTCCGCGCGACGTTAATTAACAAAAAGTCATTAAACTTTCCATGACGAGCGGAACGAAAGAGCGGGCCCATGCCATTTCCTAGGATCGATGTACTTCGCTTATTCCCCAGTTTTCGAGTGTGTGCTTTTTCCAAATGGACACAACAAACGCTCACATTTAACGTGTGACATTTGGACTTTGTTGCTTTTAGCATCAGAATTGTGTATGGACGGCCAAATTTTTGTCGGACGTCGAGAAGCAGAGACGAGTCGGGTCAAAGCATATTTGAGTATATACGAAACATGTTACGGTTGTGGCGCGAGTTAAAGAAGAAATATGGTACGATCGTGCAATAAAATATATGATATGATTAAAAAATAAAAGAAAAATAGTTTTTCGATAAGGACTATTAATATAAACCCACTCTAGAGGGACGTGGGTGCGTGGATGTGTGTGTGAATAAACGCGCATGACTTGTATATATACTTTTTCAATCCGTTTGCGAATACTAAAGCAACGCGCGTCGTGTTCATATTGTGATGATAGGAATGGGGATACTATTAAAATATTATGACGTAGAGAACTCGGGATTTCATGGAACATTTAATCACAATATTGGTAAATAGCCGAAAAGGCGATTTTCAAGCATCAGATGGCAAGCGCGTGTTTGGCAATTTTCTAGCTAATAGGTTAACGAAGCATCGTTCTTTCGAGAGTAGAATTCTTTATTGGTAGTTTAATTGCGTTATCGGGTGCATGTCCTCCGCCCCAACATCAGCTAATCTACCATAAAGCAAGACAGAAATAAATACGTCGACACTGTCGCATTATACGGCGACAGTCTTTTTCGAGAAAGTCTGAAATGAGTTTATTGAACTCTTGAACGCAATTAAGGACCACTAAATTGCGCTTTCATGAGAAACCGTTCGTGCCAAATAGTTACAACACATATTCTTCTCACTCTATATCTCCTCCTTTCTCTCTTTCTCTCTCTCTCTCTCTCTCTCTCTCTCTCTCTGTCTCTCTCTCTCTCTCTCTCTCTCTCTGTCTCCATTTCCTTCGTTCTCGTTATTGCTGACGGCGACGCTGATGAGCAGGAAGAACTGCCGTAGGAAGGGGTGCGCAAGAGGGAACGTTTGGGTCGCCATGGCTTGGACGGTGGGGTATGTACCAATTATACAGACAACTATTGTGCGGCTCTCATTAAACGACGCCAACAAATTCGATTACTTCTGGTTCCAAATTTTGCTGCTTCGTAAATGGCGGCATCACCGCCGCCACCATCGACGCCCACCGACGCTGCCCTTGCTATTGGGGGTACGAGAAGGGTGGAAATACGCTCGAGAACCATTTTCCTCGTTTCGAACCTACTGCATACCCTCCTGGCCCGCGGAGAATTTATTTTACGACTAAACAGAAAATTAGTGAGCGTTTGGGTTTGCGGTGTTTAGGTCTTTTAACGCCGCGCCTCGTGGTTTGGCGGCGTGGAAGATGGAAAAGTGTGCGACCGAGCTACGTTTTCCCGTGTATCGGATGTAATTGGCTCTTGCTGAAAGTGACATTTATTATTTATCATTTAGCTGCTTATAAGTAAAGTCTACCAAGCAAAGCTTCACAAAGTGCTAAGCAAGAAATTTTTTTTACATCCTCATTGTGTCATTTTCTCGTTAAGATATTTCGCGGATAATTGTTGCCTGCAGAAAGTACCGCCATTTTTTTTTTAATTTGCACAGTGGCCTCTGTCTTTGAAGAATTCTGGAGTCAAAGAAACCAAGGTATCCTTTTTCGGAAGGATCAGCTATCGAAAAGTGCCTGCGAGTACAGTCAAATGACTTTTTAATTCAAAAGTCGTTGTTCCTTGATTTCTATCGTAAACCGGCTTGAAAGAAACGTCTTAATTTCCAACCACATTATAAGCGCTCGATTTGTACGGCTGATTTCACCATTAAGCATGGGGATCGGTGCGAGCAATTTATCTTGATTACCGACAGGTCGTTAACACCTGGCTAAGTGATTCACTCGTTAGACTGGACAAACATTCGCGATATCGAGACAGGAATTAGATCGGTCGACTTTAATTGCATGGCGAATTAATCAAGCCTGCGTACTCGCGCTCCGCGGAAAAAAAGGAAAGAGACAAGAGGAGAAATATTTAATTGCCATCTTTGTATGGAGAAGACTCGGACTTGCGTGTCGGCGCGAAAGTGATTTATTATTTAATTTTCTAGACGAGTAGTTTTTACCTCGGCTTACCGTCAAGCTGCCGTAACCGAAAGCTGCTCTTCCGCGTTACCGTTTAGTAACTCTGGCCAGTAACGGTTATGTTTGTCATTATCACTATGGTGTACGAATTGTCTGGACTCTCGTCAGACAAGCCAACCTCGACCAATGAACTACGGTACTGGAACTCGTTAGGTCGTAGCAATTTCCCAGCTGTTGCCGTTTCACCCCGTTCGAAACGTTTCGCTAAAAACTTGCAATATAAATTAGCGAATTTATTTGCACGTTCACGTATATGGAGACTATGATATTGATTTTCGTCGGAAATATCCGCGAGAGGATATTTTCTCGATTTATTTTTATTATTCGGGCATATTTCGAGAGATCATCGTTCACCTTACCGAGAGGGAACTATAAATAGTAAGGAAGTAGAAACATGGCAATGCAGAGTAGGGTGTTGTAGAGTTGTCTCTACAACGCGACACATCACAGCTGTATTTACACAGGCGGCTTCCGGCCAAAGTCTCTTGGCCGTTTAATTTCTTTCCCCGATTCCGTGCTTTTCAGAGTAAGTGAGATATCAAGTCACAAGCTTGAAAGCTCGCATTAGCTTCCGTAAATAAAAAGACTTCTTTTGTGGCCAACGCCTCGCCCAGCGGAAGACATTAATTAATGCATCGTCTCGTATGCATTTATGCATTTACTTTATTATTTATAAAAACAGCATGTTTTCTTATATAGTATATCCGAAAATTATTTTGAAATATCATAACCCCTCGTGAGACAATACAGTTGTCAAAAAAATAATGAGTTTGGCAGTTACAGAATTAATCAAGCAGTTGTTTATGAATATATCGTTGCGTGTTAGCCTTGGGCGTTAACAATTCTCTCGAAGCCAAACACCTTCTCCGTTTCGACACAGTCAAACACAAGCGAGCGTCGGTGAAGTTGTTACTTAATATCACTATAAATTAAAATGTATTATGCAAGTTAGTCGGTCTCGTTGGCAGCTTCTTCAGGACTTCCGGAGACTCGATTGTGGCCGCGCGCGTTCTGCGCATAAGGGAAGGGGTGGGTTTGCGGGGTGCCACCGTACTTGTAGGAGGGAGGATGTTGAAAAAGAGGAACGGGCGGCTGCTGAGTGTACCGGTGGTGAAACTAAAGGGATGGCAAAGAGAGCACCGTAGTAGCGTGAGGCAAACACCGAAGAGGTTCTTCGAGAGGAACCCACGTTGGCCGGTTAGCGGCGGAGTTTCCTCATAAACTCTTAGGAAACTTCGCAGACAAATACAGAAATATTTTGTAATGGAAACACGTTCCTCACAGCGGTTAAATATTGCGATAAAGATGACGTGGATCGCGGAAGCATCGTCGAAAACGAATCCGGATACAAATTACAGACGACTCGAATGAAAATTGGTTATTCTTACTGAACTAAACAGATTACGACAGAGAAGACTGTCATATACTGAATCTCACTGGCGTGTGGAAGCACGCTGGATTTTCGATGAAAAATCTGCAAAATGTTACAGCATTTATCCAAATCGCGCGAGCTTGATTAAATGGCTTCTCTTCCTTCCAAATACGAGTGTCGAAAGGATGAAAATGAATGCGTCGAAAACTCTACCGGATACAAATAGATATATCAACCGTTGCATGGTACATTTATTTTAAACTATAGAGAGATTGTGACAGGTATATATGAGTTTTTTTTTAAACGAGGGATTGTATCAGTGTTTATATATTCCAATCAATTTGAAATTGCGGCGTTAAAGATATTCTGTTAAAGTTAAATTACTACGCAATTTTTAATTAATTATACAGCAATAAATTAATTATATGCGCAAAATATATTTGTCGCAATATAATTATAATAGAAACGTCACGATAAAGATATAATACATTTGCAAACTGTTCAAATCGTCGTAATGAACACTAATGATCGCCTCCAGATTTTTCCTTCGTCTAATTATTGTTCCCAAGACGATTGCACAATCCTCGATATGATAACCGTAGCCGAACTATAGCAATCAACCAGATCGTAACCCCTCCTTCGCGCCGATCTCTTCGGGGGAGAACCTCGAGGACTTGGCAAGTAGTTAGTCCTCCGACTTCAACCCTTGTACAACCCATTGTCACGATGTTGAAGAAACGAACTATGCGAGCTGCGAAACTCATCGGTGAATTCTGCGGCTCACCGCATTAACTTGTATCGTATCGGCAAACAATTAGAAACGTTTAAATGTTGAAGGGAAACCCATTTGTTACGCTGAGATATTTTCTGAAATTCTGAGATTTTTGAATCTGAGAATTTTCTGAGACCATCGAGTCAAGATTGAATTTATTATCAATTTTATTATATTATGAATGCATATCCTGAATTTCTGATATTTTCGTATAAAACTGTGACTGTCTGATACTGATACTGTCTGATGTCTTTGAAATTGTTACATTTGCACTTGGTTTAGCTCAGTAGAATATTGTAATAATAAATGTACATTTATACACCTGATTCAATACAGACGATACAAATGACGCCGATAATTCGCGTCGCCGGTCTCTATTGCAAGAACGCTAGAGCCATCTGGTGGCGTAACGGCACACTACCGCGATGTTTACGCTTAAAGAAGACGAGCGAGGCGAGGCTGGAATGTCCTTTTCGGAACGCGCAAGGGCGGCGCGAGGTTCTCTCTACGTTTCTTCGTCCAGATTCTCCTAGAAATGTATCGAGCACATCGAGAGAACGAACATCGGAGAGATCAATTTCGTCTCGAGAGACTCGTGGTAAGCGCTGTTCAGTTATGAACCGGATTATGCTGTTCGCAAGAGACACGATAATCTCGTTACAATAAGCGCGACATTATAACCTCATTATAACCTATAAAATAGTAGTTGCCGACGGATCTCACGTACGCGAGATAGCCGCGAGAGAAGCACGGAATCGTCAGATTTCGTTCGGTGTCTTCTCTCTGTGCTTGAATTTCGCTCAGTCTCGTAATCAGAATGTCTTTGCTCTCATTGTTCGCGCGAATTGACGTGCGTGCAAAGTTCCTTCTCGCTGTATCCGATCGATTCATATCGCGCGTCGTAATAGCACGGAAAACACTTCCGGAAACCATCACTGACCATCCACCAAGCCGAGCACTTAAAGCTCCAAGCGCGACCAGCGTGGAGAACCTGACGGATAACGACCGCTCGGAGATTAATCGGCGGTCACGGATTCTAAATTCTGCGACGTGGCTGAACCGCGACGATCGCTGCAGTTTGCGACGCGAGAGGTTTACTCGGTGTGACTCCTCTCACTGAAAAATGCCTCGGACTCGTATGGTGATGTTGCCTTTGCATTAAACTGATCCACGAGTGAAATTTGCCAATCGCATCGCTCGCGAAAGCAGGATTTTCAACGTTCGTGTTTTAATGGCCGAGCGTTCGCAAGTCGTTCGGTGTCGAAAAAAAAAAAAAAAAGAGAGAAAAGAAAGAAAAGGAAAATGAATTGCTCGAATAATTCGAGAATTATTTGATCACGAGATTGATCGTGATGCAGCCGAGAACGCGCGCAATCCCGCGAGTTTCGCGTCTGACCCGCCGATATCGCAGCTAGGTTATTCGGCATTTCGAACACGAGACCGAGGCGACAAAGCAGTGACGCGCGTCGTCCGACTTCCACACGCGTGTCACATGCATTCACTGGTAATACGCGAGCTGCAGCGCTTAACTCGAATTTCACGATTATTATCTTTGCTCGATCTCGTACGAGGAAGTCACGCATAGAATAGCTCAAACCGTTGACTTTCACATTTTCACGAGCAGGCTCGGTTACATCTGTCCTCTGGATCCTCGGTTCCGCCGAAGATCCAGGGTATTTTCCAGCGGCTCGCGAAAAGGAAGAAAGAAAAAAAAAAAAAGAACAAAAAAAGAAGAAAAAGAAGCGGGAAGGCATTTTTCGCAGCCATCGCTGCGCACGGTGTGTCGCCAGGGGAGAAACAATTTCGCGCGAATTGAGATTAAGTGGCGGCCGCCGATATAATGATAGGACGGCAGACAAAATTTTGCACCAGTACGAGCGCGGATTACATGTCGCGGTCTGCGCATACGCACGCGCGTATGTATGTTTATATATATACGCTCGATGATTCACTGACAGAGTGTATTTCCCGCGCGTACATGCAAACGAATCCCACGGACGGCTTGGCCATTATATATCGTCCAGCACCGTGCGCCACGACGATTTCGGTAAAATGTGTGACGGTCGAAGCGACGGCCAAAGCCTCCTTTGACTTCTCTCTCGTGACCATAAACCTCTGATTTATGCCGCTTCGAGTCGAGTACGCGCAGCCGGCGCGCTACCGTTCACTAGCAAACCATGCGTGAGATCGACCTGTCGCGAAAATCGGATTAGTGGCCACCGCCATGTGCATTGGACTTTTTACTTTGCGCGATATCCCGGCGATGCAAATAGGCGAATACCACCGAGGCGAATGCCAAAGGAACCATCGAGAAGCCCGGATCGCTTCTTGCGTTTTGTCGTGCTGCGTCTTAGCTCGTCTTTATAGCTATCTTGGTGCGTCTGCCAGATTCCGATGAAAATCGTTTTAACAGGCGGATTTGCGATAACGTTGAAGAAACTTTGCCGTTCCCATGTATTTGTGTAACAATGCTCGTATGTGCGACTCCCCTTTCGTCTCATCGATTTAATCTTTTTACATCTGACTTCATATTTCATATTTTATGCTTCATTTTATTTTTTATATTTCATATTTTATATTTGATTTTTTTTTACTTTCATAGTTGCAGCAGAATTTTTCATGAACATAAATTCGCAACTCTAGATGAATTAGACGCCGCATTTCTTTAACTCCTCAGCGTGGAAAAAATATAAAAAAATTATCATTGCACCCTCATAATTTGCATGATAGTCGGATAGTCGAGCACGGCCCGAATCTCGAATATTCGAATACTATTGCTAAAGATACACAACTGAAGTATTACCTTTGTCGAATCCTTCTTGGCGTTGCAACGGATTTTTATATTATTTTCTACACGTTAGGCGAGTAAATGATAAAGGGAGATGCGCTAATAATAATAATCATAATCCTACGCACAACGTTTACAGCGTTGTAATCGCAGAGACGTTTCCTCGTCAGGCTTTATAATCCACTCAAATTAAAAATTGATTAATTAAGAGTAATTAACTTAATGAATAACTCGTCCGTCATTTTCCGTGCAATACGAGTTGCGCATTACTACTATTAACATTATGTCTAACGTAGAATACGTCGCATGCAGTTCTAATATTAATGTTTGCCAAGTGCAGCGAGTAAATGTAACCTCGTAATCGCTAAAATTGTCTAACATAATTAATGCTAACTCTATTTACGTATTTTGTTTATATGTCATGTCATGTTAATACTTGGTCGCGGAAGGTACATCTCAGACAGATGTGTTTTTTTCTCTTTTATTAATTCTTCTATCAAAAATTGGCGTTAATTCATTACACTGAGAGAAAAGTATATGATATTTGGAACTATAATGATATAGTAACCAAATTATAGTCCGAAATATCATATTTATAGTAAGTATTATCATAATATCGGTAATAATTACGATGCAGACATAGTATAACCAACTATATAATATTTTTACTAAGAATTATAGTAAGTTAAACTAAAATTATTGTATGGATACAAATATAAAATGGTAGGTAAAGTAACTCTTTTATATAGTCAATATTACCAGATAATATTTGCTAAATGATGACAGATGTCAACTATATGAATATTAAATCTCACTATATTTGTGAATGAGAAATTACCATATATGTGGTAAAAGTAACTAAACAATTATTTAAGACAATCATTGACTATATATTTGTGTTTATTCTACTATATTTTGCACAGGTTCCACAAACTATAAAAATATGGTTGACGCCAAAATGAACTGTAAAATATAGTGGGATTATAGTTAATTCAACTATATTTCTCTGTCAGTGTAGTATCGATCGCACGATCTCTTCGCGTCAAAATCGGACCTTGAGATGCGCGGGGAGCATCCCATTTTTCAACAATTCAGTATCAATCGGATGCTCAATCGCTCTTAGGCCACATTAAATAAATATTTCAATCAGAACGAGAGGGTCGGACGCCTCGTGTTGCACATTCGGGCCAACTGGCTCGGCACAATGTGCAACGGAGAAGTTCAACGACTTTGTGTGTTTCTCGAAAAAGAGACGAAAAGAAAAGGAAGGCGGACAGAGATGGGCTTCCCGATCGTTCGTTGAACGATAAACCGATCGCGCCTGGGCGGCAGCACTGCGGAGATACATTCACCGCTCGTTTAACGCCCTCATAAAAATTCTTTTCGTTCGGCCACCATGTCGAAGACTAAGAGCGAATGGATTTCTCGAGACTTCTGAGTCCGGCCAGACCAAATAAATACACCGCTAAACCTTAACGATAACCGCGAAGCTACAAATTAAATTATAAATAGAATCCTGTGTGCGAATCGGCTCTAGCCACTCATCGTTTGACGTTAGTTACTTTCACATAATGTACGTTAAAGCCTTATTTATTTAGAAGAGACTGATCGAGTGTGATCCATCGTAAGCGTTGGGCATTTGCTAAATGATCGTACACGTCGATTCGGATATTATGAACAAACATCGACAGAAATGTCTGTGACAATTAGACTCGAGGAGTACACACGTGCGATCGCACATGCGCGGAGACAAATAGACAAATGCGCTTGGTACGAACCAAGGCAGGCCCGACGAAGGTCGGAAACACAGACGGCGCTTTTCGTGGCTACGGAAATAGAAGGAAACCGTCAGATCAGGCCCTCTTCTCAGATCGAAGCGGTAAGCGAAAGAAGGTAGCGAGATCCGTTTATTTTTACAATCAGCCGAGGATTGAATCGTTCGGTCCACTCGCAGCGGGAAAGTTGAGAGAGGACGGAAATAAGGGAAGGAGCCGAAGAAGAACAAAGTGACGGATCGAAAGAGACGCTGAAGAGAGGAGGACGGATAAACGTGCGTACGCGCGAGCGGAGCAACGGAAAGAGATGATGAGGGAAGAAAAAAGCGAGGAAAAGAGAAGAAGAAGGAGACGAAGAAGAAGAAGAAGCGGACTCGGTGGTAACGGCCAACAGCATGTGCGATACATGCGTTTTACTATTACACGAGCTCGCCGTTCTCTCTCTCTCTCTCTCTCTCTCTCTCCCTCTCTCTCTCTCTCCCTCTCTCCCTCTCTCTCTCCCTCTCTCTCTCTCTCTCTCTCTCGGTCGGTCGGTCGGTCGGTTATATGAGAGCTTTTTTGTCAGTCTGTGGGATCTCTTTCTGCGGCTTTTGCCGACGGACCGACTAGAGGCACAGACCCGTACGTTTGCTTTGGCTACTTGCTCGTGATCTTCGAACGACGTCTCCTCGTTCGCCGGGCCTCCTCGCGTGAAGAGGCCCGTTTACCATGCGCACGAACACGCCGCAGCAGCGTCTGCATGTGCAGCCAGTCGCGAGTGTGCGGGTCGCTTTGGCGGCACATCCTTACGGGTGTGCGAAACCGCGGGGGACAAGTGGTTAACGGAAATTGGGGCTCTCGTACGTGAAGTGTTCTAAGTGGTTAATAACAATAATCTATCGAGAGGAGGAGCGCTAAAAACACGCTTGGCCGCTCGGGAGCGAGAGCGTTAGGAAGAAATTGAATTATGAGCGAGTAATTTTTAATCAATCGCGCAGAGGCCGCGGCATGTCGCCGCGAACACGTGCGCGCGGTGAAACTTCAGCAGTAAGTTGATCGCGTCGCGAGTCGATCGCTCGCGAATCTTACACTGACGCGCGCGACCTTACGTTTCCGATTCTGTATTGCCCGCTCGTATTGCCCGCGCGATCGCGTTCGGCCGTCGCTCGAGTTCGTTTATTTCGACTCTTCGTGTATCTCGCCGACTTGGCCGGATGGGAATAATGCCCTCCGCGCGCATGTGGGAAGAAGAGAAGCGCGCGGCAGACGGATCGCGGGGGGGATTGGGATGATCTCTCTCACTGTGCGTCGCAAAGTTGCTCAAACGCGGAGGACTCGCGCGAAATCAATTGGGAATTCAGATGCGCGATAATGATGACAGCGATAATAGGCCCTCATCAGCGCATTGTCGTGCCTATCTGGCGCTCCGGTAATGAAACGATTACTGTAATACATCGTTAAGTGTCGGGCCTCGTATATAGGGTCGCACTGTCTAGCCGGCACTTTGTTTGCTTTGGCTACATCTCCGCGATCTGCCGGCGGCTTCTCATATTCCATGGCGCAGCACACGCGTGGAATAGGCGCCGTTTACTCTGCGTGCACACGCGTGTAGACGCGCAATTGCTTTGACCATGCTTAGACAAGCCGCGAAAGCAAATACGTCAAGCGCGGGGGCTTTAACTTCCACGTTTTGAGCCGTGCCGTGGATTCCGCGCGAACGATATCCGAAGTGCTCCTTATGTAATGTTTGGATGTCTGATGAAAAATACTTCTCTCTTCGCGAAAACGGGAAAAGTAATCGGCCTATATTCGCGCGTATCTGCAGCAATGGTGTCACGAAAGCTGGGGTTTTCAGGTCTGTTGCTGCGACTTGCTCGCGACGCGCGTTACTGCAGATTTATCCATATTTTATTTGAAACTGTCACCTCGAATCGAAACTGAAGCTACGAATATCGATGCGATTTCTCAGTCAAACTCGAATGACGTTCGAATACCGAAATGTAATTTCATAAGGCGAAAATCGCGTTGAATCGCGATGACCGAGCACGTTCTCACTTGAACGTATCTTTCTCACCGAAACGTTAATTGTCATCTAATCGGCAAATGTGGAATTTTTCTGTTCCAGATTTATGCGGCGCGCGCAGGCGAGACGCGGCTGACCTCGACTCCCTGATATTTCGGTGAGTGAGAGAAAGAGATTTTTTTTTATAGCATATAAGGCGTCGTGTCGGAACGAACGCGACTTGGTTCCTGGTTGCGAATCCATATTGGGTTTCGAATATTCGACGCGATGCACTCGCGTTTCCTCGTAAACGAAATGATGGAAAGCCGCTCCTACGCGATCTACGCGACGCGTATCTCGACTTTTGGCACATGACGGCATGCTGCGCGTGCCGCTAAATTTCCCCAATGTTTATTGACTATTACGCTGAAATGGAGAAGTATGAAGCGATGATTTTATCATTACGAGACCTCCCGGCCTACTAGTTCACCGTCGGTTCCGATGTTTTCCTTGGCCGCTTGGTAGTTGATCTCGGGATTGCTTCTTGCTTCGGTGAGTGCGTGAACTGGCGTCGCGCTTAGTGCAGCGCGTGCACACGCGCAATTGCACGCGTATAACCGTCCCCGCCCCCCCCCCTCCCCCTCTCCTCCCATATATAGCGATTCCCCATTGAGTGCGGTGAACTACTTTGACGAAGTAACATTATCGATTCGCTCCGGAAGACGACCGATATAAAACGCGTCCCGCGAGCGTGGAGTCCTCCGAGAGAGAAATCTTGCTCTTAATCTGCATAATCTTCGTAATACATGATCTCAATAGTCTCACAAATTACATAATCGTCGTATCTAGACATCTCAAGTCTCATGTCGGACGGAAGACGTTTGTCCCATTTTCACATTCTCGAATTGCTCTGCGACGTGACGGGAAAAAAAAAAAAATACGGGAATACAATAGCAATTAACGACGTTAGGTCGAAGTTCCGGACGAACGTTCCGACTCACGTTCAGCAGAGCGTTCGGAGCTCATCGCGCAAACGAGAGACGATGAACTCAAACGAAGGTAGCGTAGGAAGGAAGGGGAAGAAGGGGCGAGAGTAGTGTTCGCTTCTGCACCGTGGTCTCTGCTCGTCGTCACGCTGTTAGCGCCGAGTTAATCGGGGCCGGAAATGAAGTGAGGGATAGAGGAATATTAATAACTGAATCTAATCAATTCCATGAAACGAGGCTGGCCACCCCGCGCAGCTCGAAAGAGCAAAGCTCTTTCCGCCCCCGCACACCACCACCACCCCCGCCCACCTCCTCATGCAACCTCACCAGCGATCTAATCAAATGCATCGCATTAAGCTAATTTAGTGGCGCTGGTAGCGTGGCGAACCGCCGCTCTCCTCTCCTTTCTCTTCACTCTCTCGCGGCCTCTCTCTCTCTCTCTCTCTCTCTCGCGCGCCGCGAGACTATTCGACTAGTCGCGCGACGGCTGGCTTCTTCCCACATTAATGCAACGCCGCCCGGCGACAAACAGCAAATTTTCAATTGTACACGCGCGTGCAAGCGGCGAGCCCTGCGTGGGGGGAGGGGGGGGGACCGTTTATTTTCGGCGTGCCAGCGAGAGGGCCGATGGTTAAATGAGCGACAGTAGAGAGCGGATCCGGCTTGTCGCTTCGCGCTTTTTTTTTCGCGCGACGTCGCGTAACGAATCGGTCTCTCGGGGTCCCGCCGAAGAAAGAAATGTCGAAAGTTCGTGGCGAAAGACCGGCTTGTCGCCGAGGCTTGGCGCGCGGCGGCAACGCTCGCGGCGATCTCGCGTAATGTTCGATCATGCACCGCTGCAAAATTGCCCTCAAAGTGTGCCTTACGCTTTGGGGAAATAATTACTCGCCACTCGCTCGTCGCGGAAATAGACACGTCGGTCTATTAATCTACGCCCGGCGATTAACATGTTTCATCCGTGCCCGCTCGCGCGAATCGGCCCGCACAAAGCGACTCGCGCGCGCCCGCTCGCGCGAATCCGTTTTCCACGGCAACGTGATTCTGATTTCTGATTTTACGCGTCACACGTGAGAGCTTTTCAATTGTGTCTTACTCTCGCGCGCGCGCGCGCGGCTTGGCAGAGGCGCTCCGGCGGGGATGTTTATTTTCGGCGTCTCGAAATCCGACTTTTCCAGCGGTTATGCCGCGGCCCGTCGTCTGCGAGAGGAACGGCGATGCTACTCGTTCGTCTCGAAAGAGTTATCGGCACGCGCGAGACTACGTCGCATCGGCTTCGCGCGCGTAAACGCGTATAAATCCCGCGTACCGCGCCACCGACCGCAGCAGGATGTAGGCTCTAATTTTGGGGATAAACTCCGAGAGGAAGAGAGATATAGAGACGGCAAGAGACAGAGGGAAAGAGAGAGAGAGAGAGAGAGAGAGAGATCCCAAGGATTCGCGTCGGCTATGGACGCGACTAATCACTCGTATATTTCAAGAAGGATTTGCACGTTGTTTATACAGTTAGGCTGTTACGCCACTTTACAGCGCGATATCCGCGCGTAAAATGTGTGCGTCTTTGCACGCATGGGCGCGATATGTTAAAATACTGCGTCTTTTCGCATCGAGGCTGAATTATTCATGCCAACCGGGCGCGGAGCGACGAGCTTGTCCTTAAATTTTGCGCATGTCTGAATCGGTCTGGAGATTTCTTTAAATATTCATACGTACATCTCGTCTAAAGATTCCTTTAATCAGCCTAATTTCTCAAAGCTTATATACACACACACACGACACAGTCGTTTTCGTCGTAAATGCGAGAGCTGTAGTATCTCGTGAGAAGTTGTGATTTCGAATCGCGGCTTGTGTTTTATCGTGTTCTTAAAATAACGAAATAACGTTCACGCAGCGCTGTGAAGTGTTATCTCGCAATTGCGCGATGGACTAGCGGTGCAGGTGATTTTCCAAGACCGTGTCCGTTAGTAGCTGTATCGATCATAACGTAACACATAAAATTCTGCATTTGCTGCGCAGTCACGCGATCATCGCAGACCTCTTTCCATAAGTGACTTCGTTTCAATGTTAACCTCCATAATTTACTTAATTATAGATCGTTCATATATAATTATGTGTTTCTTCGCGCCGCTGAAAAACTGTACGCAATAACCACTGCTATGTAACTGCGCGTAGCAGAAGCGTGTGGCTTACTAGAGCAGCGAAGCAATGTAACGAACCTACGGCGAACCTGTTTATCTATCGCAGTGTAATCTATTTAGTATTCGAATCGCTGGGGAATCGCTTTTCCTTAACAAACTGCAGGCCAGTGGCGCAAGCTGTGCAATAGCTAACGCAAGATTTTATCCTTTCTCAAGTCTCACCTGTGCGAATAGAAATTTGCAACTCACGTGTCTGTGCGCGGATTTTTGCTCGGAACAAATTCTCGGGTATTAAATATTAATAAGACCAAGAAATATCACACGATTCACTTGTCACTCGATGATGACAATCGTCTCGACACGTCGTAAATCGGTTCAAGAGTTATTTTAGTCAGATCAATTTGCGATAATCTCACGAAGAACAGTAATTTATCCATAAATTCTCTGATTGATTTATTTGTAGATTATTATCTCTAATAAAACCGTCGCGGAGCAATTTCTTCGAGGTAACTCTTGACGGTCCATTTGCGATATATTGAAACTCACCATCGAGTGGTCGCTCTGCGAGATTTCTTGATAAAATATCAACGCGGCTCACGCGTGAGTCGAGAAACGGTCCGATTTGTTTGCGAGGAAAGAATGGCGCCTGCTACCACCGGGCTCTTTGGCTCGCATTGTAAACGAGAAGTGAGCAATTGGAATGACGTTTACGACTTCGATCTAAACGGCCTCAACCCCTCCAGAGGCTTTCCCCTGCTCGTTGAAGCCTCCATGGTTATGCCGTACCGTACAGCCGAATCCGCGCTGCCGATTCATCTTCGCAGATCAAAAGGCATTTCGTGGAAATCGGCATTGGTGTGCCACGGCACGTGGAAATAGATTAATGGCGTCGTGAATCATCGTGTCGATTTGAAGTATACGCGCCCCGTTTCCGCGATTGCCACCGTCGTCTTTTACGTCGTTTTTAGAACACTTCGATGAACAGTGTTGCGGGGCTTGAATAACGGCGCAGATATTAGGAATCCCGAGAGAGATATGGCTTAACGACGACACGTCGTAACGCTCGGGCTGTTAGCAATTCGATAATTAATGCGTAAATCTAATGTCAGTTTACATAAAACATGCCCGCGTTACCACGACACCGTTACGAGGAGCTCAAGACGTAGTTGACAAGATATTACAAATTTGCAATTAAATTGCACGACAAGAGAGAGCACTACACGCGCTCTCAGCAACCATTTCGCGCGTGGCTGCAAATAACAGCTGGTATAGTCATAAATCCACTCGGAAAAAGAATTTGCCTTTAGCGTAAGTATCAACGACCGCCAGAACTGTTTTTACGGGCCGTTTACCTCTGCGAGGCGGTATCATCGAACTCGCGATGCCAGAAAATCAGTCGAACGCGAAAGCGGGGTGCCAGCGAGGCGAGAGCAAATGAGCGCAGAAGAGAGAGAGAGAGAGAGAGAGAGAGAGAGAGAGAGAGAGAAAGAGAGAGAGAGAGAGAGAGAGAGAGAAGGAGAAGGAGAAAGAGAAAGAGAGAGCGAGCCCCCGAGAGGGAGGGGCAAGGGGGAGGGAGGGAGACATAGAGAAAGAGAGAAATATAGAACGGGTGGACGTTCAGACCGAACTCGATACCATTCGCAAGTCTATATTAAGACGGTGGTATGCCGTGAAAATAAGCCTGGTTAGTGCCGTGACTCGGTAAGCACAGAAGCGGGTGGAGGCAAGAAGGGCGAACGGCGTGTGGGACGGATGGCGGTGTCCCAGACACAAAGACAGTTCGTTTTGGCATAAGTCAAAACTTTTGGTATGCGTGCATATGGTGCGAGCAGACTCGCACTGTCCTCTCTTGGTTCCATAACTGCCCTCTTTGCCTTCCCCCCCTCTCTCTCTCTCTCTCTCTCTCGTTCGTTCTCTCTCCGTCGCTCTCTCGCTCTGTCCATCATCCCTTTTATATCTTGGCGTTTCACTTGAACGCGTATGCGACGGACAGGCCACGGTACCGGCCTATACCGCGACAGCGATTTATTTCTGAGTCAATTAGGCTCGTTTATTTG